GCTATTTTTTGGTTGCAGCCATTATTGTTGTTCGGCAGGCTGGGGTGGATTCGAACCTGCCACCTTAGGTGTATGTGGCTGGCGCCTTAGCCACTTGAGCCACAGGCGCCGAGCCAACTTTATTGAGTTTTACTAATGCCTTTTCTCTGTTCCAGTATCCAATCTAAGATAACACTTGGCATTTACTCATCATATCTCCTTAGTCTCCTCTGGTCTGTAACAGTTTTTCAGTCTTCTTATTTTTTTGTGACCTTGATACAGTTTTAAAGAGTCTGGTCAGGTATTGTGTAAAATGTCCCTCGATTTGTGTTTGATGTTTTTTTCTTGATTAGACTCTGGTTACAGGGTTTAGGGGAAATACCACATGAGGAGATGCCCTTCTCATCACATCATTTGGGGGCAGGTGTATGTGATACCAGCGTAGTTTGTTTATTACTGGTAATGTTAAATGAAAGGTGTAAATGATGGTGCGTTAGACATCACACACACACATTAACCTTGATCACCTGACCATGGTAATATTTGCTAGTTCTTCCACTGTAAAATTGCCTTTTCTCCCTTTCTGTGTTCTCGTCTCTGAAAACAAGTCCCTGAATCCTGCCCACACTTAAGAGGAATAGGGGACTAAGCTTCAACTCATTGAGGGGACTATTTGTATACATTACTTTGAATTCTTCTGTAAGGAAGATTTGTCTCTGCTATCTTTTTTTTTTTGAGACATAGTCTCACTCTGTCAACCTGGTAGAGTACCCTGGTGTCGTCAACCTCAAACTCTTGGGCTCAAGCAATCCTCTTGCCTCAGTCTCCCAAGTAGCTAAAACTATAAGCATGAGCCACCACAACCACCCCTATGATCATTATTTTCTTGTTCAAATTGTTCCAGCTTTGGCCACTGAGAGTTTTTTAAGTTTGACTTTGTGTCACATGTTTGTTTTTATGTTATCTTCCCTTTTTGTAAAATTTCAAGGTGCTCCAGGCTTATATTGTATTTTTCTTATCCCAATTCTAAAATCAGCAATCTCTCCAAGGAGGCCTGGAATGGTATTTAGAAACCAGAGTGTCATTGAATTTAGCCTATCTTAGCAGACAGAGGTAAGAAATATATTACCACCTTGTTTTTTAATTCTTTGTTTACATCTCTGTGACAGGCAGCCTCCAAGCTGCCCCCCAGGGCCCCCTGCCTCCTGGTGTCCTGGACCTAGTGACTTGCTTCTAATGAATAGATCCCGAGAATGAGAGGATGTCATTTCTGAGATTAGGTTACAAAATGATTGTGACTTTTGTCTTCTTTCCCTCTCCTGGTCTCTTCTTCACTTACTCTGAGGGAAGCCAGTATCATATTGTAAGCTACCCCAAGGAGAGGCCCACATGGCAAGAAATCAAGGGAAACTTCTGGCTAACAGCAAGGAACTGAGGGCCCTCCATGCATCAGCCTATTAGAAGCTAAATCCTGCTAACAGCCATGCACATTGAGCCTAGAAAAATACCCTCACTCAGCCCTTGTTGACACCTTGACTGTGGCCTTGGGTGAGACCTGAGCCAGAAGCTCTCAATTTACCTGCACATAAATCCTTGACACACAGACTATCAGATAATAAATGATTATTGTGTTAAGCTGGTAAATGTTGTTTCAGTCAGGAAGCAGTAATAGCTACAATTTCTATTTGTTTTTCACAAGATTAGTGGTTCTTAAATTTCACATCAGAGCTGTTTAAAAGCACATGCTTGGGCCCCTTCCTAGAATCTCAGGTAATTGTTCTGTGTAGCTAAGTTTGGAAACAAATGTATGCAGGGCCATCCATTTGGATATATAAGAAGAAAATAGACTTTTCTTTTTGGTGTATTTGATCCTGGAGTTCTTGACCCAAATTAATGGCTCAGCTTTCCTGGCAGAATCCAGATTAACTGAAACTTCATCTGCTATTCGGAGGTTTTATTTAAAAGAAAAGAAAGAATTAGAGCTCTCTTACCACATGGCCTTGAAAAACTCTCTTTTTTGTGCCTCTAAATTCCTTCCTTAAAAAGAAATTAAATCACTATAATGCCATTATTTAGGCAAGT